TCTCGGATACGCTCCAATAATAAAGAACGAGCGACGGTGTAAGCTAACACACGACTGGGCTTAGAAACATCCAACCTCATGAACTGATTGGCCAAAGCCTGAACATCCAAAGCAAGTGGTCTCTTACCGACCGGAATATAAGCAAGACTGCCTATAATAGCTGACTTCCTACTCAAAGCATCGGACACCATATTGGCCTTTCTCAGGTGATATAAGATAGTGACATCATAATCTTTCAACAACTCCAACCACTTCCTCTGCCTCAAATTCAAATCCTTTTGCTTGAACAAATACTGAAGACTCTTGTGATCCGTGAACACCTCACATGTCACGCCATACAGATAATGCCTCCAAATCTTCAACGCGTGAACAATGGCTGCTAACTCCAAATCATAGATCGGATAGTTCTTCTCATGAATCTTCGACTGCCGTGAAGCATAGGCAATGACCTTGACATCCTGCATCAACACTGCATCAAGTCCAATACGAGATGTATCATAATAAACTGTGTAAGGCCCTGAACCTGCGGGCAAAATCAACACCGGTGTCGTAGTTAGGGTTGTCTTGAGCTTCTGAAAGCTCGCCTCACACTCATCTGACTATCTGAACTAGGCACCCTTCTAGGTCAACCTGGTCATCGGGGCTGCAATGGATGAAAACCCCTCTACGAACGGACGATAGTAGCCTACCAATCCCAAGAAACTCTAAATCTCTGTAGCTGATTCTAGTCTAGGCTAGTTCTTGACTGCCTCAATCTTCTTCGCATTAACCTGAATACCCTTTGTTGATACGACATGACCCAGGAATGCAACTGAACTCAACCAGAACTCACACTTCGAGAACTTAGCATATAACTGACTATCCTTCAAGGTCTGAAGAACCACTCTAAGATGTTGCTCGTGCTCCTCCCAGCTGCGGGAATAAATCAAAATATCATCAATGAAGACTATCACGAACGAATTCAAGTAAGGCCTGAACACTCGGTTCATTAGAACCATAAAAGCTGCTGGGGCATTTGTCAACCTAAATGACATGACCAAGAAGTCATAATGCCCGTACCGAGTGCGAAAAGTTGTCTTAGGGACATCGGATGCCCTAATCCTCAACTAATGGTAGCTAGATCTCAAGTCAATCTTCGAAAATACCTTGGCACCCTGAAGCTGATCAAAAAAATCATCAATCATCGTCAGTGGATACTTATTCTTGATTGTAACCTTGTTCAACTGCCGGTAATCAATACACATTCTCATCGATCCGTCCTTCTTCTTAACAAACAACACGGCACACCCCAAGGCGAAACACTCGGCCTAATGAAACCATTCTCAAGCAAGTCTTGCAATTGCTCCTTCAACTCTTTCAAATCCGGCGGGGCCATATGATACGGTGGAATAGAAATGGGCTGAGTGCCCTGAGCCAAATCAATGCAAAAGTCAATATCCTTGTCGGGTGGCATACTCGGCAGGTCTGAAGGAAAAACCTCAGGAAACTCACGAACAATGGGCATAGAATCAATAGAAGAAACCCCAATGCTAGAATCATGAACATATGCCAAATAGGCCAAACACCTCTTCTCGACCATACGCCGAGCCTTCACATAAGAGATAACACTACGAGTAGAATGACTAGGAGTCCCTCTCCACTCTAAACGACGCAAACCCGGCAAAGCTAAGGTCACAGTCTTGGCATGACAGTCCAAGATAGCGTGGTAAGGTGATAACAAGTCCATCCCCAATATGACATCGAAATCAACCATGTCTAGAAGAAACAAATCTATGCGAGTCTCAAGACCCCCAATCATAACTATACATGAACGATGGACTCGATCTACCACAATAGAATCACCCACCGGTGTAGACACATAAACATGGGCACTCAAAGAATCACTAGGAATGACTAGATATGGTGCAAAATAAGATAACACATACGAGTACGTAGACCCTAGATCGAATAATATTGAAGCATCTCTATCATAAACCAGAATTGTACCTGTAATAACTACATCTGAAGCCTCAACCTCGGGCCTGGCTGAAAGAGCATAACATCGGGATTGGGCCCCACCACTCTGAACTACATATATGGGATGGCTTGCTGCTGGATGGCCTTTACCTCTAGCGGCCTGAGCTCCACCTCTAATACCTCTACCTCTACCTCTAGCACCTTTACCCCCACCTCTAGCTGGCTAGGCGGGCTGTGGAACACCTGGTGCCTGAACCATGGCATGGGAACCCTGATGCTGAGAGCTACTCGGTGCTCGAGGGCAAAACCTAGCAATGTGACCCATATCACCACAAGTGTAACAAGCCCTCGGCTATTGAGACTACTGGCTCTGATGACCTGAATGACCACCCCAGAAACTCTGAAGCAGTGGTGCACTGATAGGAGCAGGTGGTGCACTATAGGACTGCTAATCAGAATACTGCATCTGAGGACCACGGCCACCTGAAGCACCATGAAAAACCTGAAGTACCGATTGAAAAGGCCTAGGAGGATGGCCTCTACCATATGAATCCCTACCTCCAAACGAGGTACCATTGAATCGGCCTGAATGACGAGGCCTCTTGTCTGACCCATGACCACCTCCCTATGACAGAACCATCTCCACTTTCCTGGCTACATTGGCCGCCTCCTGGAAAGATATCTCACTCCCAGCTTCCCTAGCCATCTGGAGACGAATCGGTTGAATAAGTCCATCAATAAACCTCTTCACCCTCTCTCTCTCGGTGGGAAGTATGATAAGAGCATGACGAGCCAAGTCGATGAATCTGGTCTCATACAGGGTAACAGTCATAGAACCCTTCTGGAGACGCTCAAACTGCCTCTGATAGACCTCTCTCTGAGTGATATGGAGAAACTTCTTCAGAAATAGCTGCATAAACTGCTCCCAAGTCAAAGCTGGCGATCCGGTTGATCTAGCTAAACAAAAATTCCTCCACCAAGTTTTGGCGGATCCACACAAGCGAAAAGTAGCAAAATTGACCCCGTTGGTCTCAACTATCCCCATATTCCTGAGAACCTCATGACAGTTGTCTAGATAATCCTGGGGATCCTCAGTAGATGCAACACTGAAAGTAGTAGTGAAGAGCTTGGTGAACCTATCCAACCTCCATAAAGCATCAGTAGACATAGCCGCTCTATCACCGGTCTGAGCTACCACACCCGGTTGAACTGCTCCAACTGGATGAACCGCTAGAGTCTGAATCTAGGGAGCTACCTGCTCCGAAGTGAGAGTAGCAAGAGTCTGGGCTCCTCCTACAGCCTGAGAGATGGGTGGTGCTACAAGAAGCAAGCCTACTCGGGTGACACTCTCCATGAGGCCCACTAGACGGATCAGAGCATCCTGAAGAATTGGGATAGCAATAAACCCCTCTAGGACCTGAATGAGGCCCACCGGAACTACTAGGGCCGGAACCTCATCATCAAAGTCAACATGAGGCTCCGCCATTGGTACTGTTGCTCGCGGCTGAGCTTTGCCCCTACCTCGACCTCGCCCTCTACCTCTCGTGGGAGCTGCTGCTGGGGGCTCGGGATGTTGGTCAGTGGATGAGGAAGCGCGTGTTCTCGCCATCTGAAAAGGAACAGAGTAGAAATTCAATTAGCATTGAGAAACCAAACCGCACGACAGGAGATTATAAATGTGAAGTTGTTCCTAACTCTATAGCCTTTGGGGGTAAATACAGACGTCTCTGTACCGATCCCTCAGACTCTACTAAGCTTGTCTGTGAACTGTGAGGCCCATGTAACCTAAAGCTCTGATACCAATTTGTCACGACCCGAATTTCCTACCCTCGGTAGTCGTGATGGCGCCTACTGATGTGAGATAGACAAGCAAAACCTTTAATCTAATTACTTCATTAACCAATTATTTTTTTTTAACAAATATAAGATGATAACGTGGTGACAGCGAAAATTCAAATTTAAGCGGAAGAACACCATAAAAATATATGAAAACTGCATCTATTACAAATACTTAAGCCTTAACCACCCAAAACCTGGTGTCACAGTGTCACAGACTGTCTAAGATTTGCTACATCCAAAGTCTGAAGAAATAACAGTACACTGTTTCTGATAGGGGTGGGCATTCGGTATTTTGGTTTGGTATTTAAGAATTTCGGTTCGGTATTTCGATATTCGGTTTATCAATTGTGTATACCAAATACCATACCAAAATATTTCTGTACGGTTTGGTATTTCTTATTTTGGTTCAGTACGATTTTGGTACGATTTCGATTTAATAATCGTTGAATAAGCAATGCTAAATTCAATACTAAGTAGTAAGGTATAAGCAACAGTGCACCACAATTGTAGGCAACACTAAGTTAGTCACGACTAACGAGTGAAACTTTCATTGTGAAAGAATCTGTTCTGATATATAACAGTGCACATGCACAATTGAATAACTGAAAAGCAAAAGCTGAACAAGTTCTTTACAATCTGCACGCTAGTATATTATACGAGAAATAACTGAAAAGCAAAAGCTAAAAGAATCAAATTGAATCTGTACACAACTACACATTACACAACGATATTAACATATCTGCAAATTCAAAGTGCACTGCACATTGCACAATTCAAAGCTGCCAATTCTTCCTAACTCATAAGTCACAAATAACCACAATTCAAAATCTGCCAATTGACCAAATACCAATTCTGCCTAACTCACAATTCACAAATAACCACAATTCAAGTTTAACAATTAACATAGTGCAGCAGAATTAAACAAAAACATAGAGTCGAATAGTGCAACAGTTGCAGGAGAATTAACTTAGTCTTAAGTCTTAATAGTGAACAAAAGTAGCAGACTCTAACAGACAGTAGCAACAGAATCAAACACAGTGCAACAAAAACAGAGAGGGCATACCTCAATTCAAGTTTACACCTAATAGTCTCGAATCAACTTAGTCTTAATTCTTAAATACGGATTCCTGGAAGACGCCCAAGACAACGCTTAAGATGCTTCCTTAAACCAATTGTTCCATTCCTCTTTGGATTAACATTATAGACTTGACCATAATGCTTGCACTCTACTTTGCGAACTTCTCCGTTATCTTCTTTCACCTCAAAGTGTTCCCAAATATCAGAGTGTACTTTAGGAGCACGGGGCATGATTGCACTTGAACCTAAAAAAAATATAAATCATAAGTTAGAATATTATATTTTGATGATAATAAAACAAAACTACAAAAGTATTAAGTATATCACCAAACAAATAGAGTATTAAACTTACCACTCAAGATGCAAGTTGCAACTATACATCAAACAATGCTAGTAGTGCTTCCATTATTTTCCATATCTAAAGATAATTCGACCAAATATGTCATACAAATGAAAAGGCATGATATATTATTTTGAACTAAAATACACACAAAATATTAAAGCTTACCAAGCTCGAGTTCCTCAAGATACTTCAAATCTTCTTCAACACTAATAGGGTTCTTCTCTTCTCTAAGCCAATCTTGAACACTAATAAGAGCTTGCACACATTTAGGAGTCAATGAACTCCTAAATGAATCAAGAATATGGCCACCGGTGCTAAATGCGCATTCTGACGCCACACTAGAAATTGGAATGGCCAACACATCACGAGCCAACTCCGAAAGAATAGGAAATCTAGAAGCATGTGTTTTCCGCTAACTCAAGATATCAAATTCTTCACTAAAAGGCTCTTGTTCTTCACTAATGTATTTATCCAACTCCGATTTAGCACCGCCACTTCTATTGTCTTCCTTTTGTTTCTTCAAGCTAAGCTTAGTCCTTATTTTTATGCACTTATAACACTCTCACTAGATGTATTAGATGTGTTGTTAGATGGAGTAGAACTAGATGGAGATTGAGGACAAGATCCAGTTGAATACTTTTTTAGATACTCTCCAAACAAAGAATTCACATAAGCATACACCTCGGCATTTAATTTATTCTCTTTTTCCTCCCCAAAAAGTTCTTCAAGTGCTCCCTCAACATATTCAAATTTGTTACGTGGATCCAAGACGGAAGCAACAAAAATTATTTTATTCATCTTTTCAGGCTCACCCCAATACTTCTTGAACTTTTTTTGTATTCGCTCAGCCATTTTTTTCAAATGCTCATCCTCACTAGCTAAACACATTTTCAAATGACAATAAAGTTCAGATACATCCTCAAAATGAGAATTACAAGTGACATAACGTGAACCTGAAACTTTTTTAGTTAGCTCGTGAAATCGTGCAAGAAACTCTATCACATTCCTCACATTCATCCAATCATCAGATTCAAGAGGACCTGCACTACTATCATCTTCACAAAGATGAGAACATTGATAAGCAGAAAATCCATCATCAAAAAGATGAAACTTGTCAAAGGCCTTTTTAAAGTTTTGTGCCGTATCCAACATCAAATAGGTGGAATTCCACCTAGTAGGAACATCCAAACACAAAATTTTGGTACATTCAACCTTTACATGTGCACAACACTGTTTAAACTTTAAGGTCCTTGCAGGCGAAGATCTCGCATACCTCAATATTTCTAACACGTGTCACATAAGCATTAAGTTCTTTCAAACTATATTGCACAATTAGATTTAGTATATGAGCCATACATCTCACATGAAGTATTAGTTTTTCACATATCTAACTATTTAGACAATTCTTTGACTGTGACATCATTTGAAGAAGTATTGTCCACGGTAATAGTGAAAACCTTGTCAAATTTCCATTCAAGCAAACAATCCCTAATAGCTTTAGCAATCTCTTCACCCTTATGACTAGTGATAGGGCAAAAATTTAGTATTCTTTTATGCAACTTCCAATCCCTATCAATGAAGTGGGCTGTCAAACACATATAATTTATTATTTGTAATGAAGTCCATGTGTCTGTTGTGAGGCAAATTTTTGGTTGTGCTTCTCTAAAAGACCTTCTTAGATTTTGCTTCAATTCACCGTAAACTTCATAACAATCCCTTGTTATTGTTCTACGAGAAGGAAGACGAAATAGTGGTTGAGTTTTTCTCATAAACTTCATAAAGCCTTCATTTTCTACAAAGCTAAATGGTAGTTCATCAATAAATATCATCTCAATTAAGGCCCTCCTAACCACTTCTTGATCAAATTTCCAAATTGATCCTTCATCATTTTGGCAAGATTGAAAATTTAACTTTGTTTGACTATTATCTTTATCAATGTTAAGTGGGTATTCTTTGCATCTAAGCAAATGATTCTTCAATCATGTTGTTCTATTCCTAGATGAATTAGCAGCATAAGCTTGTTTACAATATCGACACCGTGCTATCCCAACCTCATTAACCTCAAATTTATCAAAATGGTTCCAAACGTCAGACCTAGGTTGCATGGCTTTCCTTTTCTTGGAATCTTAAGTATCAATGGTGTTGGTGTTACTATCTACCGTAATAGGTAAATTTTCACTTAACCAGCATCACTTACTCTACTTGTATCTGCTATCTATACAAAATTAAACAAATATAAACACAAATTAACAATCAACAAGCTTTAGGTCTTGCAACAGCTAAAAGCAAAGTTAGAGTGTAACCATTTGAGCACTATTTTCCAAAGATGTGTAGATTATAAATGTATTGTTCTTAAAGACTCATGTTTTGCACATTTATTCAATCATAATCTTAAGCATACTATTTATTTAGCTGGAATTCAACTATACTATTTAGGAAATCCAGATTCTTTATCATATTCACCAATTTGAATGAAAGAATATGAAATACCGAAAAGATGCTAACAGTAACACTAGAAGTTCTTTTAAAAGATGCTAACAGTAACACAATATTGAGTCCATTAGCCCACCGATTAACATATATCAGCCTGAAATCTGAATAAAGTTGAAGATTCCATCAAGTCTAAAGAAGATTTTAACAAAATAGAAAGAGAAAACAAAATCCTTTTGTAATCATCTTCATTTATCTTTATATTGTCACATACAAATTACAATATGATCTATCTAAAATTAATCAGAGTACTATGTTCATCGCTAAAGAACAGAGAGAATATTACAGGGAAAAAAAGAATAATCAACTATACAACTTCACAAGGAAACAAATAGTACTCAACAACAAAAATCGCTAGAAATCTTCATCAAATTCATTTCCATCGCTAGAAAGTAGAAATCGCTAGAAAGTAGAAACATACCTTTGAAAATTGAAACTATCACAAGTTCGCAAGTCGCAACAGCAGTGTCTTCGTTTGCCCGAAATTTGTGAGGACTGAGGACTGAGGAGTCGGAGCTCGAAATGGAAGTCAGAAATCGCCAGGAAGTCGGAAATCACCAAATCGCCGCTCAACTATACTGCACTCTAAATTGCTAAATGCTAATGCCCTAACCAGCTAACCTTTAGAGTTTAGAGTGGGCTTGAGCAGTTGGGCTGGGGCGATGGGCTGGGGCGCTGATGGGAATTAAATAAAGAAGGGTTTGCCGTTTGGGCTTGGGCGTTGGGGCTAAGGCAATGGGCTGGGTTAAGAAAATGTCTTTTAAAAATCGGTATTTCGGTATACCGAAATACCGACATTTCAGAATTTTAATACTGAGGACCGTACCGAAATACCGAAATTGCAATACCAAATTAGACCAAAATACCGAAAAAAAACTAAAACCGAAATACCGAATTAATTCGGTCCGGTTCGGAATTTGGTTTTTCAGATTTTATGACCACCCCAAGTTTCTGAATAAAAGGAAAATAAAACAGGAAATAGGGACAGAGGGAGACGCCAGGGCCTACGGACGCCTGCAGGTCTACCTTGGGTCTCCGGATGGACTGAAGGAAGCCTCCAAGCTACTGTCCAAAAGCTGCTCCGGGATCTGCACATAGTGCAGAGTGTAGTATCAGCACAACCGACCCCATGTGCTGGTAAGTGTCCAGCCTAACCTCGGCGAAGTAGTGACGAGGCTAGGACTAGACTACCAAATAAACTTGTACAGTTTCAATATATATACAGCGAAAAAGTAATACAGACTTAACCAGCCAAGTATGGGAGGGGGAGCATGCTGTGGGGAAGATAACAATTCCAAATAGAAGGAACATCAAATAAACGAAGGAAAAAAACATAACTTGGATATTAACAAAGAATCAGAAATCAATAAATGCATGACATCAACCTTCGTGCTTTTACTCTCGTCCTCACAAAAGCAATCATATAATAAAAATGTATATGGCATCACCCTTCGTGCTTTTACTCTCTTTTCTCACCATATAATCAATATAATCGGCACGGAATGGTACATCGTGCGGCACGACATCACCTTTCGTGCTTTACTCTCTTTCCTCACAATGATACACGGCATCACCTTTCGTGTTTTACACTCTTTCCTCACAAAAAAACAAACAATGCACGACATCACCCTTCGTGCTTTAACTCTCTTCCTCACCCAAACAACAATCACAAACAATATGGCAAGGGAATAAAGGAAATTTGCAATAAGAATCCCGGCAAGGGAGCAACAAGTCAACAATTAAATCCCGGCAAGGGAACAACATCAATAACATCAACATCCCGGCAAGGGAGATAACAAATAAGTCAACAATAGCCCGGCAAGGGTGACAACATAATAATCCCATCTTTTTCTCACTTTAACTTCGTAATTCATTTCACAATTCGAGCCAATGCACTAGAGTTTCAACTATCTCTTACACTTTCACAATTCGATATGCAACTTGAGCCAACGCTCCTCAATGTTCATAGGTCACAGTTTCCTTCCACAGTCTTTGTACAACAAATAGAAGCTCCCACTAAGGCATGAAAGATACAACGAAGTCATGATAATCACAATATAAAGACTCACGAGCATGCTAGACACCAACGTATAGATACTCGTCACCATGCCTATACGTCGTACTCAACAATTACCACATAGCAAAAAGGACTCAACTCCTAATCCCTCAAGCTAAGGTTAGACCAAACACTTACCTCGACGCCACGAACACAATTCACGATTCAATTATAGCTTTACCCCTTGATTCCACCACTAATTCGCTCGTATCTAGTCACAAGTTACTTAATTACATCAATAAACGCCAAATGAATCGATTTGAATGCATAAAAATGAGTTTTCCAAAGTTTTGCCCAAAAAGTCAAAAATTGCCCCCTGGACCACATGGTCAAAACCCAAAGTTCGAACCAAATACCCATTCCCCCATGAATCCAAATATATAATTTGTTTTGAAATCGGACTTCAAATCGAGGTCTAAATCCCCAATTTTTTAAAAAACCTAGGTTTTACCCAAAACACCCAATTTCCCCCATGAAAATCATTGATTTTGAGTTGAAATTATGTTAAAAATGTTAATGATTGAGGAAAATGAGTAAAAATTAACTTACAATCGATTTGGAAGAAGAGTTGTTCTTGGAAAATCGCCCAAAGGAGTTTGTGTTTTGAAAAGATGCGAAAAATGAGTTTAAAATCGTCTAAGTATAAAAGTTGCAGGTCTCAGATGTGGGAATTGCGAACAGGGGTTCGCAACCT